ACATTCTTAGTCCTGGGCTGGTCTTGAGTTCTGATTTTCCTACTCTCTGTCCCCCGAGTAGCGTGAGTCTCTAGGCATCTCTAGACTACTATAGCTTTTAAAAACAGCTCTGGTTTAATTTGGTCTGTTTTGGTTTAGTTTTCATGTATGGAACTAGAGTACATACTCATTTGTGTCAGGATGAATCTACACAATTCCTTTGTGCTACGCTGTCACAAAAGTATTCCCAAAGGTATTCATTGTACTATTGCCAAGATGGGGTACTGCAAACATGCAGCCCCTGCTCCTGGCAGGAATAGACCCGGGGTGTGGGCTCATCTTTCTTAGACTTGCTTTGCATCTTAGTGGTGAAATGCAAGCAGAGGCTGAGCAGTGAGCCCCCCTGCTCCCCACCTCAGTGCAATGGCCCCATCTGTCCCCCGGGAGTCCCCGTAGGGGCACAGCTAGTGACACAGGATGGACAGACAGGGCAGACAGAGCTTTGTTTCGGTGCCTGGGTGGAGATGGGGTTGGGCTGGGGGGTGGGGGAGATACCCGTGTCCCTAGCATTCTGCCCAGGCCAGTCTACCCAGCTTAGATGTGAGGCGCTCAACTCCCACTACCGAGGCAAGGAGGTCAGCAGAGAGTCCTGACGTCTGCAGCCCCTGCCTCCCCTGCTCAAGAACCTTCCATGGCTTTTTTTTTTTTTTGGTTAGTCATGGGGCTTGAACTCTGGGCCTGGGCGCTGTCCCTCAGCTCTTCAGCTCAAGGCGAGCGCTCTACCACTTGAGCTACAGCACCACTTCCGGTTTTCTGGTGGTTTATTGAAGAAAGGAGTCTCGTGGTCTCTCCTGCCCGGGCTGGCTTTGAACCGAGATCCTCAGATCTCAGCCTCCTGAGTAGCTAGGATTACAGGCGTGAGCCACCAGCGCCCGGCCCTTCCATGGCTCTTTTGTGATGAATGTAGACAAAACTTGTGCCGGACTCATTTGCTTCTTTCCTGGTCATCCTTTGTAGGAGGTGAGCCAGGTCACTCCCCGTGCGGACTGCACTCTGTGGCTGGAGAGCTGCGTGGACTCAGGAGAGGAGCTGAGAGCGGTGTGCAGGCCACAGGTAGAGGGGGGCCACGTTGGCTGGTCCGGAGCTGAGGTGGTCAGATTCTGCCAGGCTGGCATTGGTACCACTTTATTTACCTATTTATCTATGGAAGGGCATCATGGTTGGGTCCAAGTTTTTTTTTTTTTGTCAGTCATGGATCTTGAACTCTGGGCCTGGGTGCTGTCCCTCAGCTCTTCAGCTCAAGGTGAGCGCTCTAGCTCTTGGGCCACAGCACCACTTCTGGTTTTCTGGTGGTTTACTGGAGATAAGAGTCTCATGGACTTTCCTGCCTGGGCTGGCTGTGAACCATGATCCTCAGATCTCAGCTTCCTGAGTAGCTAGGAATATAGGCATGAGCCACCAGCGCCTGGCTTTGGACTGTGATCTAACTCTGCATTCCATGTAGCTGAGATTCCATGTAGCTGGCACAAGCCACCATTCCTGGATTGTTTGAAACATGATCTCCCTTATTTTTTTTTAAACTAGGCTGGCCTCAAACTGAATTGAGATTTTTTTTCTCCTGATACCTGTTTATTGATTTATTTTTTTTCAAAGAGCCAGCATTTTTTCTATTGATTTTCCTATTTTCAATTGCATTTTAAAATTGTTTTTAAAATTGTTTTCTGCTGCTTACTTTGGACTTGTCTTTTTCTTGTTTCTTAATGCAGTAATCTATACATTTTATCCTATTAAAGTGATTTAGGAGTATTTTACAGTCCAGAATGTGGCCCATCCATCTTGATGGATGAGCTTATTTTGCTGGTATTGTATGAAATACTCTGTAAAGCCAAACAGATCCTCTTAATCGATGGCACTGTTCAGCTGAAATATTTCCTCACTTTTCTGCCAGCTAGATCTGTCCGTTATCAAGGGGATGGTGAAGTCACCAAATGGTAATGGAGGTCCTACACCCTGCAATTCTGGGGCTTGAATTCAGTTCCTGAAACTTGCCCTTGGCTTACTTATTTGCACTGGAGCCCTGCCACCAGCCTGGCTTCTTATTAGTTAAGAGATGGAGTCCCAAGGACTTTTTCTGCCCAGACTGGCATCAAACCTCCATCCTGAGCAGCTGTCTCTTGAGTAGCACTAGTGATAGGCTGAGTTCTATCAAAGTTTTGCCTCGTGTAATTGTTGCTTTGCTTGCTGTAAGAGCATAGTTTTGTTCTTGGGGAGCTGGGACTGAGTTCAAGGTCTCACGCATGGTAACTGTCAAGCTCAGGGCATCATACTTGGAAGCACATTAAGGACTTTGGCCTTAGAGAATGGATTTGTTCCTATTATGTAATACCTGTCTATATTCCTAATTTTCCTTGCCTTGAATTCATGTAAAATTAGTATAGCTAATTTTAAATGAATAGCTTCATTTGATCGATACTACGTGGTGCATTTTTCTCCCCTCTTACAATCCATTATTTACTTATATTCATTTGTTATGGTGCTGGGGGTCAAACCTGACTTCTCTTGGGCTAAGCATACATTATCACTGAGCTACTTCCATCCCACTCACCCCCACCTCTGCAGGTTCTATTTATTATTATTAGCCAGTCCTGGGCTTGAATTCTGGGCCTGGGTACTGTCCCTGAGCTCCAACGCCACTTCTGGCTTTTTTCTGAGATCAGTTGGAGATGTTTCACGGACCTACCTGCCTAGGCTGGTTTTGAACCATGATCCTCATACCTTAACCTCTTGAGTAGCTAGGATTACAGATGCAAGCCACCAGCACCCAAGTGGACTTCTTGTAGACAACATGTAGTTGGGTCTTGCTATTTTGTCAGTTGTGGGTCTTGAACTCAGGGCCTGAATGCTGTTCCTGAGCTCTTTTGCTCAAGGCCAATGCTCTACCACTTTGAATCACAGCTCCACTTCTGGTTTTCTGGTGGTTAATTGGAGATAAGAGCCTCACACTTTCCTGCCTAGGCTGGCTTTGAACCGGGATCCTCAGATCTCAGCCTCCTGAGTAGCTAGGATTACAGGCATGAGCCACCTGTGCTCAGCTGAGCCTACCTTTTTAAAATCCATTCTGACAGTCCATTTGGTTAGGCCATTGACATCAAAAGCAATTACTGAACAGTCCAGTATCTGCCACATTACTGTTTTCTATTTGTTGCCCTTGTGTTTCCTGTAGCAGGCAGGAAAGGGCACATGTGTCTTTTGAGCACCCCAAAGTGTATAGTAGACCTGTGTATTCCTTTGGCTTACTTTTGGGCGATTTTCCAATGTGGATATTTGTTTGGCAGTACTTGGGAGGGGAGCTCAGGGCTGTTTTCTAGGACACCACTGAGCCACACTGTGTACATCCTCCTGGGCACTCATGAACTGTTTCCCAGCCAAAACAAAACCAACTTTCTCCTTCCACTCTGGCTTCTTAGGGTATGGGATAATCTCCCTTTGGCTTCATGGGTGCTCCTGGGCAGGTCTTTGAATCTTGATCAATTGACAATAGAGCCATTACAAATCTTCATTGTCTTGACACAATTCAGAGCTACTTTGCTGGTGCCATAGTGGGGTTTCAACTCAGGCTTGGCTTTCCTTCACTCAAGGCTGGCCCTCCCAGGTGAGCTACATACCCACTTCTGGCTTTACACTGTTTAATTGAGCTAAGTCACATGGATTTTTCTACCTGGGCTGGCTTTGAACTGTAATCCTCAAATCTCACCTTCTGATTTGCTACGATTACAGACGTGAGCTTCTAGCACCTGACTTTCTAATTTTTTTGGTGGCACCCAGGCTTGAACTTTAGGGCCTTATGCTTGCTAAGTAGGTGCTTTATCACTTGAGACACACTCCAGCCCACAACTTTCTGTTTTGTAGATAGGGGTCATCTTTAGATTTGTGTGGTTTTTGTATTAATTTTAGAAAGGCTACATACCACCAGCTCACACCTGTAATCCTACTGCTGAGCTACTCTGCAGGATCATGATTCCAAGTCAGCTTAAGAAGAAAAGTCCACAAGACACGATCACCTACATAACCAGGGAAAAAAAAGGTAGTGACAAGCTCTAGCAGTCAAGCCAATTGAGTGTGCTGGCACTGAGTTCAAGCCCCTGTACTCACAAAACCAAAAACACCTTTGGTTTGGCTGCCCAGTGTATTCTAGAAACTGTTTCCAAAGTAAACCAACTCACTTTCTTCCTCTATCCCTCATAGCTGCGGCGCCACCTTGGGGTCACCTGAGAACCCCTTTCCCTGAGCCACCTGCCGAGTGCGGCTGCTTTCTCTTCTTGGACCAGGCTGCAGGTCATCTCTCTGCACACACAAGCGCTGCATTTCCTGCATCTAGGTCCTCACACCACTGTCAGATCAGAAACACAGCTCCAGTCTTAAGGGATGAAGAATGACTTGTGCTCCTGGCACGAGACACCTGACCCCGTCCAATGGGCTAAATTTGCTTCTCTAATGCCCACTCAAACCATAGACTCCCGAGCACCGGCATATACTGTCCAAAACCACAACCACATTCCCCAGGAAGCTTCAGTGTCCCGTGAAGCTCTGGCTCCCCCTCGTCCCCCCCCCCCCTCCTGTTTTGCTACAGGAGGCAAAGGGAAAGTGGCAGGGCAAGAGGGGAGGTTTGCAAGCTTGCTGCAGGCAAAAGTGAGGGGGACGGATGCAGCCCTCTCTCCCTGCTTGTACTCTGCTCCAACTCTAACGTGATGAGAGGACCGGGAAGGTGCAGGGCCACAGCAACTCCAAGAAGCACAGAAGAGACCTGGTGATGTTCTGAGTTCCCAAGCAGTCTCAATGACAAGTGTCTTAGAGAGGAGTCTTTCCAGAATCACCAATTCTGGAAAATGTGCCTTTACTCTCCTGGGGAAGAAAAGTCCTTTAGGATTTCTTTTGTCCCAGGGAACAAAGCTGTGTGACACAGTGAGCTTTTCCTGCTGAGGACTAAGGTACACCAAGAAATGCAACTCAGACCAAGCACATGAAATTTTGTCAAGCAAAAATAGTCTTTATTCAAATTTAATGGAAACAGGGGTCACTATACTTTTGCAAGACGGGGAAAAATAAAATTAAAAAAAATTCTTTTCTTTTCTTTTAATATAAAACAATATAATCACAATACCAGAATATGGAACTCTACAGTTTATTTCCTATGGTTACTGCAGGTGTCAATTTTCCTCAACTGTGCTATTCACAACTTCGTTAAGTCCAAAAGTAGGAAACCAAAGTGGTAGGAAACTGAAGACTTAGCACTTTCACTAGTGGCGTACATCACAGGGCGGCAATCCAAGGGCAAAATGGCTGAACTCACCATACCTACCTATGCCATTGCCAGTCCAGCCTGAAAGCCATCCAGGTTCCAAGCTCCTGGAGGCCAGACCAGGCCTGGAAGCCAAGGCATTTTGGATATTCTACTGTGGGCCGTGAGTAAAGGGGGTTGGTTCATAGATTTTTTTTTTCAGTCGAGCAGGAAGGCCTGGTGCCAGGAGGCTTTACTGAGAGGAAGCACTTAGATTTAACAATTATAGACACACCATTAGGGGGGTTAAAAATGTACAGCAGTGACGTAGGTTCTACTTCAATCACCTGTGCTACGGCTACCAAACATGTACAAAAGACTCCTCGGGTAGTTCCAGCTGTGGTCGTAGCCAGTTAGGATCTCGAGTGGGACCTAGATCTAGACCGGGACACCGATCTTGACGCAGACCTGGATCGGGACTTGGATCGAGACCGGGTTTTTGAAGCGGACTTTGATCTGGAGCGTGCTTCCGACGGGAGGTTTGGTTCTGATTTGGAATTAGATCTCGATCTGGATCGGGCCTCGGGCTTAGGCCCAGCATTCTCACTCTCCCCCCGGCCTTCCCTCTGACCAGGTTCGGACTTGCTGTGTTCTCGCTCCTTGGACACAGAGCGGGAAGGCGACCTGGACTGGGAGCGGTCGGTGTCTTCCTTCTTCTTCTTCTTGCTGCTGCCTCCTTTGCTGTCTCGCTTGCTGCTGCGCTTCCTGCTCCGCTCGCTCTTGCTACGGGAGCGGCTGCGGCTGCGGCTCTGCTCCCGGCTCCTCTTCCTGCCCTTCCTCTTGTCCTTGCTCTTGCTGCGTGAGCGGCTGCGGCTGCCGCCTTTGCTGCGTGAGCGGCTGCGGCTCTTGAGGAGGCTCTTCTCCTGACTGCGGCTTTTCTCCTTGCTTCCGCTCCTACTCCCACGCTTCCCTTCCTCTACCCTCCTCTCCTGACTCTGGCTCCTACTTTTACTCTTACTTTTGTGCCGGCTGGGACTGCGGCTCCTGGGTTTGCCAGAGCTGTCGTTGTTCTGGATCTTGTCTTCAGCGTGGTCTTTACTCTTGCTGCGGCTCTTGTTGATACTGCGACTGCGGCTACGGCTCTTGTCTTTGCTGGGGCTCCTGCTTTTTTCCTTCTTGCGACTGCGGCTCGGGCTGCGGCTTCGGCTTTTGCTCCGGGAGTGGGAGCCTGACCTGAGGAGATGGGAGTGCTTTGTGAGTCACAGCGATCTTGACTTCATGCGAATCAGATGAAAGACTAGAGGGGGCTGGACACTGGTAGCTCACACCTGTAATCCTAGCTGCTCCGGAGGCTGAGATCTGAAAGACTGTGTGGTTCCAAGCCAGCCCAGGCAACAAAGTCCATGAGAGACTCTTATCCTCAATAAACTATGCAGAAAAAGCCTGAAGTGGCATTGTGGCTCAAGTGGTAAGAGTACTAGCCTTGGGCAAAAGAAATTTAGGGATAGAGCCCCAGCCTAGTGATTAGCCCCAGCACTGGCCAAAAAAAAAAAGACTAGAGGGGAAGTGTGGAGCTGTATCCTTCATTGGGATGTAGGACTACACTGGCCAAGGATTGCTCTATGCTCATCAATTCTAGAGTGGAGCTAAAAAGGCTGGGACTAAGAGGGTGGGTCACTGGACTAAAGTCCGAGAGAGAGAGAGAGAGAGAGAGAGAGAGAGAGAGAGAGAGAGAGAGAGAGAGAGAGAGAGAGAGAGAGAGGAGAGAGAAAAGAGGTGCAAGTGCTCCTGCTGACCTCCTCGTGCTGCAGGGCAGACCCACCTGGATCGGGACCGGCTCTTAGAATGACTGCTTTTACTGCTGCCACTTCGGCTTCTGCTCTTCCGGGAATGTCTACTTCGAGAGCGGGACCTGGTGGAGAAAGATTTTATTTAATTAACATTTTTTGTGTGCTGGTCCTGGGGCTTAATTTAGGGCCTGGGCACTGTCCCTGCACTTTTTTGTTCAAGGCTAGTGCCACAGTTCCACTCCCGCTTTTTTAGTGATTAAGAGTCTCACGGACTTTCCTGCCCAAACTGCAATCTTTAGATTTGACTCCTGACTAGCTAGAGTCAATACAGGTGCTCAGTCAGCTACTGGCACCTGGCAGGGGGCTAGCTAACTAAGCCAACCATTCCTTCAATCAGAACTAGTCCCACTGCTGTGTCCAGGACCATAGAACCAGTCTCCCACACACATGTGGATGGCTCCCCAGAAACTTCTCAATTCAAACCCCAAGCTCTGACTTGCCCCTAGACTTGATACCTTTTATCACTGGGTTCCTAATGGCCATCTGGGCCACTATGATTTACTCAGTTTATCATAAATGTCCTCTACTCCATCTCTCTCTCTACACAGTGGCAATGCTGCCTCTGTGTGCTTTGTAGTCTACCCACTTCCCCTTTCTGGTGCCTTGAGAGAGCCTCCCAATTCACCTTTCTGCAAGCACTCCTGCCCTTTACCTCTCCTCTCTGGAAGGTTCCCCCCCCCGCCCCCCGCCCCCCGCCCCCAGGTACTGGGGCTGGAAAACAGAGCTTGGTGCTTTCACCTGGCATTTTTACTCAAGGCTGGCATTCTACCACTTGAGTCACATCTCTAGTTTTTCTCTGTACTGTCTTAAACCATTGACAAACTAATACTACAGACTCTTTTGGCCACTTTCTACTTGGGAATGACTGATTCCAAGTGGAGGGTAGGATGTAAAACAAAACGGATGAAGGAAATCTCACTGTAACAGGGACAGAAATGATCACCGCTTCTTGGTGCTGTTTCTCTGAAGCCTTCTCACAGAAAGTCTAATTCTTATCTTAATCAGACCTGACCAGAGGTAATTTCCAGCTTGCAGAGAGTTTAGGGAATAAGGTCTCACACTTCAGCAATATCAAGAAGAAACAAAATATTTAAAAAGCTAAGAAAATAAAATGTCATGGGGAAGAACGGTGGTGGGGCAGGTCCAGATTAAAGAGACTTTGCAAACGTGATTGGATTACATGGAGTCTATCAAATCAGGGAAATATTAATTCAGCTGGAGCAGTAGGTGCTTGACAGGATGGTGTTCTCAGGTGAGAACTTAGTACTCTTTTAAAATTAGTACCAGTATTAGGGTTTAAATTTAGGGCCTCACACTCTCAGCTTTCTTGCTCACAGCTGGATATCTACCACTTGAGCCACACATCCAGTCTAGCATTTTGCTAGTTAACTGGAGATGGAGTCTTGAGGACTTTTCTACCTGGGCTGGCTTCAAACTATGACCCTCAGGTCTTGGCCTCCTGAGCAGTTAGGATCACAGACATGAGCCACCAGCATCTAGCCTTACCATCCTTGGACACACATGCTGAAGTGTTCAGGAGTAGAGCATGCAGAGCACCAGTAGCTCATGCCTGCCTGGGCAGAACATCTGAGAGACTCGTATCTCCAATTAACTACCAAAAAGCGAAAAATGGAGCTGTGACTCAAGTGGTAGAGCACCAGCTCTGAGGGGAGAGAGAGAGGGAAAGTAGTGGGAGAAGGAAGGTGGGAAAGGGAGAGAGAGGGAGGAAGGAGAGAAGAGAGAGGAGGGGAAGAAAGGGAACAATTAGGGGACAGCACTATAAGTTCAAGTCCCAGGACTGGCACGTATACAAGAGTGAAACATTGTCATTTTTACAACTCTCTCTCAAATAGCACAGAAACACACCCATGCGCACGCGCGTATGGAAGAGAAAGAAAGGAAAAATACTATTAAAGCCAGAAGGTGGGGCATACAGGTTTTCATGAACTGGAATTTCAACTTTTATGTTTCAAAGTGACCACAAGAAAAAATATGAGGAAGTAGTAATGTGCAGTGACACAAAAAAACCAAAACCAAAATACAGAGAAGACTGAAGACAGGAGCTAATTTGAAGGGTTCCCAAAGACCACGACAACAGCTTCTAAGCATTAAAAGACTAAGGAGCAGGGTGCCTGTGGCTCACACCTGTAATTCTAGCTACCCAGGAGGACCCTGAGGTTCAAAGCCAACTCAGGCAGGAGAGTCTGTGAGCCTTCCTTTCTAGTTAACCAGTAATAAGCTGGCTGAAGGCGTGGCTTAAGTGGTTCATTGCTAGATCAAAGAAGTGGAGCACCAGGCTGAGTTCAAGCTCCATTATGGCAAAAGAAAAAAAAAAGGCACAATTAATATTCATGCATATATCACCTAGATATGAAACAGGAGGATGTACTAAGTACTATCAATGAAGTAGTCTATTGAGACTACAGAACATATGGGGGATAGGCTAAAAGAATGAGTTAAACTTCGATAATGATGCGCTCAGCACGATCTAAAATGGCAAGTCTTTACAAACAATGACCCTGTTTCTTCAAAATTAATCCATAACAGCCTCCTACTCATTCCTATCTCTAGCCTTCAGCATGCTTTTGGCTCCCTTCTCTGCCCACCATCTCCAGCTTTGCTTTTTGGGTTCAACATCTATGACACGTGATAGTCTTCAGTTTAGGTGTGCTAAGTGTGTTTCCTTCAAGGAACCTATGATCGTGGCAAGCATCTGCCTACTGCCTTTCTCCAGTGAAGGAGGCGTCAGGCATCTTCCCCAGTGCTTCTTGGCCTATTAGCAGAGCAGCTACCCAAGAAAATAAACTCTTTACTCCTGAGTATCTGGTATATTTGGGAGAGTCAACAATTCTCTCTCCATGGGTTCTCACCAGGTGTCCGTGGTCATGTGTGCATATCAGCTTATGATCAGTCCCCAGAAAGTGTGAAAGGTCACTAATTTCTGTCTCAGAGAAAGGACTTTACTTCTATCAATACTTGTGACATAAGAGATTGGGAGCTTTACAAACAAATGTTCAGGACAAAGTTCTGAGTTACTGAACCAGATGGAATTGTCCTATTGATATCCTGACAGGGGAACATTAGTGAGGATCTGTGCTCATTAACAAGCAGTGACAACACACAGACGGTATCCACAGTACCTTGAGCGACTCCGGCTCCTGGAGTAAGACCGGCGCCGTCTAGAACCTGGCTTGTCTTCAACTAATCTGATTTTTCTGCCATTAACTTCAGTTCCATCCAACTTTTCCAAAGCTCTTTTCATATCAGAGTAAGATACAAACTCAATCACCCCTTCGTTTTTGCGTTCCTTGTGAGCATCTGCATAGGTCACTTCTCCTGCCTGACGCATATAATCCTAAGGAAGAAAAAAAATCCTTGAATATATTAGGATATATTTTGTTAAAACATTTAAGGCAATCATGGAGGCTGAAATTTTCTTTTCTTTTACAAAATGGCAGCTTTCCTCCCACCAACCACCCATTCAGGTTCTTTATAGCACTGGGCATTAGTTAAGTGATAAAGACTGTAAATAAGTTAGATTGAGGCCGGTCCTGACCTCAAGATCTTCCTCCCAGCAAGGATTACAGATGTGCCATCATCATCCCAGCAAGGTAAGTCTTTTTACATGTCATACTCTATATCCATGTTGGAAAACATACTCACAAAATGTAAGCAAATCCATACAGAGATTATGAAATTATTGTCTTTAGAACAGTTATCTTTTTAAAAAATTTTCTTTTATGCTGGTCCTGAGTTTGAAACCAGGGCCTGGGCTCTATCCCTGACCTTATTTTACTCAAGTCTAGAGTTCTAACACTTGTGTCACAGCTCACTTATGCCTTTTCCTGAACAGTGTATTGGAGATAAGCGCCTCACAGTCTTTCCTGCCTAGACTGGATCTTGGTTTTCTGAGTAAGGTTATATCTGGCTATATATATATATATTTTTTTTTTTTGCTGGTCGTGGGACCTGAACTCTGGGCATGGGCGTTGTCCCTCAGCTCTTCAGCTCAAGGCTAGCGCTCTACCACTTGAGCAACAGCGCCACTTCCAGCTTTTTCTGCTTATGTGGTGCTAAGGAATCGAACCCAGGGCCTCATGCATGCAAGGCAAGCACTCTACCACTGAGCCACCTTGCCAGCCCCCTGGCTATATTTTATAACCTCTTTGGAGCCAGGCGTTGGTGGCTCACGCCTATAATCCTAGCTATGCAGGAGGCTGAGATCTGAGGATCATGGTTCAAAGCCAGCTGGGGCAGGAAAGACCGTGTGACGTTATCTCCAATAAAACCACCAGAAAACCGGAAGTGGCACTGTGGCTCAAGTGGTAGAGTGCTCTTGAACCTGAATATACTCATTCGACTAAAGACAACTTACTTATTGGTAGACTAGTCAGGTTGCCTAAGCTATCCAGTTTAAGATAGTAAATATTCCTTCTTATCAAGGTTAACCAATACTATACTCAGAAAATGAGCTGCAGTGTACAGTAAAGCAACAGTAAACTTCCCATCCATCCATCCATCCATCCATCCATGGAATTGAACCTAGGCCCTCACAAATGTTAGGCTCTAACACTGAACTACTACTACTTCTCCAACTGTGGACCTTAACTTTTAACACCAAAATTCTTTCAGGGTAAACATTCCCTGAATAAGAAATCTTACAAAAGAAAATGAGCTAGACAGTCAATATTACCTATGAGGGTGTATGCTAGAAGCTGACATAACTTATAGCTTGTGTTTCCAGTAACATAGTGGTGCCCCCACTTCCTCCCTTTGTAAAAAAAACACCCTATCATCTCCTTACAACATTATCTACAGAGGAAAGCTTCATGTAATGAAACGTTGTGATGGGCAGTCCTGCCAGGGTGAAGGCTGATGTCTCTGTACTAGTTGTCTTTCACCGAACGATTTTGCCACTGCACTAGTGAGGCTTTCAACATGCAGCACCCATTACATTCTGCCAATTCTTGGCCTGCATGAAGTTACCTGTTTCCTAATCTTATTCCTGCCCAACCTTACCCCAGAAAAGTTAATGAGGCCCAAACCTTTAAGTCTTGCCAGCTGCACCGACTTGACAAATTCTCCACAATAAGTCTGTACTCTGTGCGGGTAGGAGGGCCATATTTATCTCGGCCACTTCTTCTATAACCATATCCACCTTTGGAAGGTTCGAATACATATGATTACTTTAGTGGAGGCAAAGGAAAAGAAGACACAGCACATATTCCCCATAAAATATATTACTTACTCCCCCACCCCAAATTTATTTTTAACTCTAGCCCCACCCTTAATTCTAAACTAGATTTCAAAAAAAAAAATCTATGAGTTAAACATGAATATTTAATTTACAAAGTTCTAAGTATATATATTAATATTTACATTTAAAATTAACATGCATAAAAGTATCAGAAATGTAACAGTTTAGAAATAAATTACTAAATCAGTTACTGTTGTTACTCACAGTGATTAAAGTTTTTGTCAATATTTTAAACGAAAAAAGATTGTCAGGCACCTATTTCAGTTAATCCCATCTGTGTCTAACCCTGGGGTCCTCACCACCCAGGCCTAATGGGGAGAGGGTGCGGTCGTCACATGGCTTCCTGTTTTTGGTCAGCCAAGGGCCACAAAGGTTCAAAGAGCCACGCATGGAAAGGTAACCCAAGGTCAGCAAATGGAACAGGCAGTCATCTTAGCCTCAAAGGATTCTTTTAATTAAAACATTGAGGTCTTTGTTAAATCTATGTTAAACAATTGCATTACAGAGAAAAAAAACAACACAAACACATCATTAAACATATTTGTAAATATTAAAACAATCTCATTTAGTAAAAATTAAACATTATCAAAGATATTTAATTGCAATTTGACATTTAAAAGATACAAAATTTATCAAAGCAATGTCTTATAAACATCAGTATATTTAAATATAACATTAATTCATTACTTAAAAAATTAGCATTTAGTAACAAAGGCACATCATGGACACAAATATGTCCTTTAAATGCTTACTGCGTCCAGAACCGTAACTGCCGTCTCGCCGTGGGCCACGGGCATGCTCAACAATTACTCTTTCACCACAAAGGTCTTTGCCATTGAGTTCATAAACAGCATCATCTGCATCACGCAGATCATCAAACTCCACAAAACCATACCTACAAGAGAGCAAACAAAATCCCAGTTGGTACCCTTTTGACATTCAAGTTCTCTAACACAAGAGAAATCAATGAGGTTCATGCTTAGCTTAGCACAGATTAGCTGGGGTTTGCAAACTAAGGGTCAGCTTTCTGAAACTGCTTTACTTTGTGCCAAGAGGCATTATAAGGCTTCTGTAAGACGACCCTCACTTTCTAGCAGGGGGCGGGCTAGGCACGTTTTGCATCTGCAATCACTTCTGGAAATGCTTGGCTTAAGATACACTATTAGAGCCCCAGAAGATCAAGTATTTGCATTTGCTCTTTCAACATATCATATAAAAACATATTCTTTTTTAGCTCTAAAAGTGGTATCTTAGACAATAAGTAGTCCTACATTCAGCTTGGAGTAACACCATAGGCAAAAATCAGTCTCTTAAAGCCCCTCTGTGAAAGAAAAAAAAAAGTTCCTGTTTCTCTAAACAAATTAGTCACAATTAACTGTTCTAGAAGTTAATGGTTTAAAAAAACAAATCTGGAGCTGTATGCTGGTGGCTCACACCTGTAATCCTAACTACTCAGGAGGCTGAGATCTCAGGATTGAGGTTTGAAGCCAGCCTGGGCAGGAAAGACAGTGAGACTCATCTCTGATTAACCACCAGAAACCAGAAGTGGAGCTGTGGCTCAAAGTGGTAGAGCACTAAACCTTGAGCAAAAGAGCTCAGATATCATCTAGGCTCTGTGTTCAAGCCCCACAACAGATAAAAACAAACAAACAAAAAAACAAACCTGGAGCTAAAATTTACTTCCCCATAAAATTTCAAACTCAATTCCCTGAAGTTCTGAATAGGCTGAACCTATATGTAACTATACAAACTTCCTTACAAAGCATTGCTAGCAATTTTCCAGCAGAGATGATGGTTTACCACACACGAGGAAAAGAACCCTCAAATCCTATTAGCTCCTACTAAATAGAGTATGATTAAGCAAAGCACAACGTTTACAAGATACTGGAGTCTCTAACTCCTATTCCCTGCAAAGGGAAATAGAAAATGTTTCTTTGGTTTGCTCTAAAAAAAAGCATATCCTTGTGATTATATGATTATTATTTTGGTGGTGGTACTGGGGTTTCAACTCAGGGTCTCCAGCTTGCTTGGCTTTCTTGTTCAGGTAGTGCTCTACCACTTGAGCCATGCTTCCAGCCCAGCTTTTTGCTGGTTATTTCAGAAATGGAGTGTCACTCTTTTTTTTTTTTTTGGACCTGGGCTAACTTTGGATCACAATCCTCTAGAGCTCAGCCTCCTAAGTTAGAAGGATTACAGGCTTGAGCCACTAGTGTCTGTAATCCAAATGATTGTACAGATCCTACCTAATCACAAAAGAAAGCTACAAGCAATTTCTTTACACTGACAGTCTATACAGAGGCAAAATGTGTTCCTCTCCATGAAAACACACTGATACTAGATACAGTACTTGCCCAGGGGTTCATTCTGCCTGCTACTTCAGTCCCCCCCCTCCCACCCCTTTTTGAAACAAGGATCAACTGAGGACTAGTCTTGAACTTGCAATCCTCATCACTAAGCAATTTGAGTGCTCAGATTACAGATATGCACCACCATGCTTGACAATACTCAATATATGTTGACAGAACTATGATTGCTGACATTTTCCTTACTAAAGAGTTCTTTTCCTACAAGAATTTCTCAAGGTGACAAGGTGTAGGTCACAGTCCCTAGATGGGTTCTTTATACTAAAATGCCTGAGTGTCATATAAACTTTTTAGTCACTGAATCTCTACTCTAGACACACCTGTTTATCTTAAAGAAGTCCTTTGCAGAAACAGTTCAGAAGTCACCTGGCCCAATTTATGGGCTGGTGAAGTATCTTTAAAACAGTTTCCTGATTCATAGGCCAGAATTGTGGAGAACTTTAAGAATGATTTTGAACATCTGACAAGGTATCTGAACTGGTAAGTAAAGTGTCTCCAAGTCCCTCCTGCTATGTTATTATTTCCAGAGGTTAAAAAAAATTTAAGAAGCAAAATCTAACTACCTTATTCTGGCTTATTTTTGGTCTGGTCTATGATTTATTCAGGTAAATCATAAAATGCCAAAAGGAAAAAGTGTAATTGTCAAGACCTCTGTTGGATAGTTCTGTCCATACAATCACTGGGCTCGGCACCACGTGACACCAAGTTGAGGAACGAATGAAACAATGAGCAGAGAATGGACATAATGAAATGGCCTCCCTCCCTAAAGGGTACCCAGAACTCATGTAGTATGGGGTCAGAACAGCACTGATTCCTGAGGAGTAAGCACATGCACCACAGAGTTGGGGGTTGTAAAAATCAGGGATGGCATAATGCAAGGCCCCTAAGCTCTGCAGGGCAACTGAGAGGGAAAGCTCAGTTTTTGCAGATGCTTCTGCCAGACTCAGGTCATCCTGTTCCAAGCTGACAGGCAGAACTCATTCTGACTTTCAGGAAAAGCACCGAGCCGAGGAGCAATCACTGAAAAAGAAGAACTCACACAGACATACCAATCTCAACGAGCAAGGTTGAAGCAAGGCATAACTTGTCAGTAACACTTTCCTGAGTTGCCAGAGGAAAATAGTCCCTGCTACCTTTCCCTAATACTTGTTTTAAATTCCAACAAATTGGTGACTCGGTAGCTAAATTTAAGATGGGGATAATCCATGTCACTTTATTAAAACAGCTGATATAAATGTCCAACTTATTTCACTGAAAACATTTTGGTTACTCCTCTGTGAAAAGCTGCAGGTCAAGGATCAACCAGGTATCCTATTGCCACTTCTCTCTGCCACTGGCATGCTGAGTAGGTACAGAGGATGAAAACAGTCAACTCCCACACAAGAAACCATACCTGTTAAGAGACTCCCATTCTGAGAGTAAAGCTAACAGCTGAGTGTGTTGTTGCTTCTACCAAATTACCATTTACTTAGGTCGGCTTTCCTTGAATAATTCTAATGGACAGGTCACCCAAGTAAGGCAGGAAGACCAGATTGACAATAACAAATATCAGCTAGCATTTATTAAGTAATCTCTTATTTCAGACAATGCTATTACCACCTTATTTGATATCTGTAGCACACAAGATCCAGGAACTAGTGTCCCTATTTCCTAAGATGAGAAACTGTATAAAGAACTTGCATAAGAAACCCAGCAGAGCTGGCATTAAGTCTCTGTCTGAAATCAGAACTCATAACCATTAAGACAAAAGCCACAAACATAGACTGGACTCTCATCCTAGTTCTGTGAGAAACTAACACTAAACAGTGCATTTAAGGATTAAGAATCGTTTTACTTCTTTGGGCAGTTTATTTATGAATGAAAGAACTACACTACATATCTCAAAGTTTTCTTCTAACACCCAAAGCATGGCAGATAAATAATAAAAATTTATACTTTGGCTTAAGGAGGTATTTGTGTGTGTATGGGGGGCGGGGGTGGGGTGTGGTATACTGGGACTTGAACTTAAGGCCTAGATGCCAACCCTTTTTTTTCAGGGTTGGTAGTTCACCTGAGTGTAGCCCCATATCTAGTTTTGTGGTGATTAGAGATCAGAGTCTTATAGGCTTTACTGCCCTGGCTGATTTCGAACTGTCGTCCTCAGATCTCAGCCTCCTGAATGTGTAGCTAGGATTGTAGGCATGAATCACTAGGCTAGATCAAGGATGGCTAAACTCCAGAATTTGGCAGGATGGACAAAAAGGGTAGCAACAAAGGTACTGGGATGAATCAAATTTCTACCATGTACTATGGTCTCAGTATTTGTTTTATTTAATCATTTTAGTAGTCCTTGAGTTGAATTTTAGTTCATTCAGGAAGTAAGGCTATTTCTGGTAACTAATACCAGAGTCCTGTAAAAATCAACTTAAATGCCCTTTTAATGCTTTGTAGCAAACTAACATGAAACTAGCTTCTTTTCTCAAAAACTAGTCTTTTTTGAAACTTTTGTCTACGTATAGGAGCAGTGTGACAAAATGCATACATGGATGTTTATACACAATTATATGCATGAATACAGATCTCTGGAGGGACCTGTGAATAAGATTCCCAAAATACAACCTGAGAGCTAAGTGTATGACACCCTTCCTTTCTTTACTCTATTAAAAACAAACAATGCCTTTCTGTAATTCTAGTATTAGAAGAGAATGAAGAAATCAAGGAGAATGAATCTAAGACAAAATTGTAAAGTCCCTACACAGTAGGATTGATAAAAACAAACCAAACCAAACCTCCAAACAAAAGCCCCCCCCCCCCCCCCACACCCCGAGCATGACTCAAGCTTACTCTTAGATGACAGTCTTCCCAGCTTTCTCCATGATATGTGACAGAAAGCAGGATTTATTAGGACATGTAGGGTACTTTTATTTCAACAGCACAAAAAAAAAACCTCCCCTCCTCTAGTTACTGTTATTGCCTCTCCCCAAAGTTCCTCTGGTTCTGTTCACAGGACAAATTTAAGAGAGAGGAGAAGAGTAAGTTGCTTCCACTTTCCTCATTAAAAACAAAACAAAACAAACAAACAAACAACAAAAAAGAAAGCATCATGATTCTGACCAAGTCAAGAGAGGTACCTGGATATCACAGAGTAAAAGCCATGTTGAATTCTGCGTGTTATCCCAGTTCATTTTTTGAGGATGGTACCAGGATTTGAACACAGGGTCCCTTGTGTTTGCTGGATAGCTCTACTGCCAGGCTACCTCCAGCACCTTTCTGAACTGGCCTTTTGTGTGTGCTGATACTGGAACTTGAACAAAGCCCTGTGCTTTTGCTTTACTTGAGCCACAACTATACTTCTGGAGAAAGTTTTGTTGGTTAAGTAGAGATAAAAGATTCTCACCATTTTTCTTGCCCAGGCTGGCTTTGAACTGCAATCCTGAGATCTTAGCCTCCTGACAGTTAGGATCATAGGCATGAGGGACAAGCACCACAATCCATCTATGTTAGCTTCCTGTAATAGCTAGGATAACAGGCACCACCATAACCAGCTCATTCAAGGTCTTGAGAACATTTCTACTGATAGCCTCCCAATGTCAGCCTCTCAAGCAGCTAGAACTATCAGCCTGAGCCATGGTGCCAGAGTTTATTTAATTTTTTTGAGACAAGGTCTCACAATATGGCTCAAACTCACCTTGAACTTACTATATAGCTCAGGCTGGCCTCACTTGATTCTCCTGCCTCTGCCTTCTGGGTACTAGGATTACAGATGTGTGCTACTATGCCTGGCTTTAAGTCAGCTCTTATACTCCGTGCAATGCTATATCTAGTCTTCCTCAAGATGATACACTGATACACTTGATACACTGCTCAGGTTATCTATCTGACGTAATTCTAGCAAGGTACAAATGGAATGACATGTTTTCAAACCAAGGTACTCCAAGACTTTAAGGAATGTTAAATCCGCTTCATCCAAGAAGAATTATCATTCAAGCTCATACTGCTGCCAAATAGGCTGTCTCTGATCCTAATACCTGACACAAATAGTCCCGCGACCACTAGGCCTGCAATCTCCTTTCCATGTTCTCCTGAAGAGGATGCAGAGTTTACTCCACCCTCATCAGAATGACTTTAAGGCACCAAAGCCATTCTTTAAATATCCTCACTGAACTGATCAGAAGACTAGAGGATAGGACCATCTGAGCATTGATGGGCATGGCTTAATCTGGAGATGGGCTGACTGGGCAGGGGTGTGTGTGCTCACAACCTGAACCTGTAGGGAGTGGATATGAGGAGCAGGGAAAGCAAGCCTCCATGCGTGTGACTATGGTCACCCACCAACTGCTTACCGAGGGGCATGCCTTGGATGTTCTCTCTATAAGAAAAATGTGCCCCTTTCCACGGTGGATCTCTGCTCACCTTTGTCCTACAACTGTGCCACATGCTTTTCTTTGTATGTGGACATGAGAGTCCTCAGTCAACCATCAGCAGGATGTGAGTTTTGTTTTCCCAATGTGGTGAGCCATTCCCACATTCACTCATTTTTCTTGTAAGAACCGAACCTCTCCATGGCTGGTCAGGATTAGGGATGTTGCTGTAGCCAAGGAAAAATTTTCATCTGTTGAAGTTAACCCACGGGGTGGCTTGGACCCTCAATCTAGAGCCAGTAGCACTGTATTTTAAGGGCAGAGCCCTTAAATCTGCCCTGAAAGAAATGGCATTCAGTGAACAAGAATCAAAACAGCTTTCTTTCAAAGCACTCAGTGTTGGTCCTATGTTTCAGCCAATTTGGTCATACCAGGTGAAAAAGGACACATTGGCAGGACAGTAATAAAAACAGCAAGTGTTGCTGTCTGTATAAAGTGCTTAGAAGCCTGTAGCACAAAGACAGGTCTGCAACCAACTACTTTGCAGGTGAGGCCAACTCAGAGAAATGCTTGTGAAGGAGAACAGTGTGACTGCCTCAATTTCACAAGGCTGTGACATCCAGGGCACTAGTGGTCAGGCCCTCACAGTAGAATTAATCAGTGTTACGTTGACTGCTTAGGATCAGTGATCACGGTTGCAATCTGACTTGCCCAGTATCAGAAGGGTGCTTGCAACCACAGCTGGAAGCTGCTACCACATGAGGAGGCTCTGGAGGTCCTTTCCTATGTTGAGACAGGAAGGAGACTGCTCTGGGCTTTCTGGCCTCCCTTGCTGTCGTCTCAGAGGTGGGAGGGCCCTCAAGGCCACCTGGAGAAGGTGGATGACTTACCCGTGCTCACTGAGTGGCAGAGCTGGGGTGCGACTTCAGGGCTCACCATTACCCAGCCTGGGGCTCTTTCACGTCGGCAAACTGGCAGTTCCCGCAAACCATGAGCTCTCTGATTAGAGCTAGTGTGGATTCCTGGTCTGCAAACGGTTGGCCACAGCTCAGTCTGCACTTGATCTTTCCCCACCTTCAAAGAAGAAAACCTACCTCATGATTTCTCTTTTAGATCCTCTGATGATCTAATTTCCTTCCAATAACCTTGATTACTATTGATTACTCCTCACTAGCTACTGCCTGGATCTATTGCTAAGTTCTAAACTGCTTTTTGCTGGGTCTACCTGCTAGAATTTACATCATTCTATGCTATAGCTATTTTAGCCAACTTCTTTACACAACGGCAGGGAAAACCAGCTGCCAAATCATCTTTTAAAGCTTAGAGGTCTATAATTCTTAAATCTCTCTTCTTGTTACTCTCTAACAAGTTGAATCATTTTAACTTTCTTCCTTCCTTAGGCTTGAGAATTACCTGGCAGGAAGCCTCAGAAACTTGCCTCTCTTTTTAGCACTTCTAGTCAAGTTCGTTTTTCACAGCAATGATTTTGTGGCTCTTTTTTTTTTTCTTGTCAGTCGTGGGGCTTGAACTCAGGGCCTGGGCTCTGTCCCTGAGCTTTTTCACTCAAGGCTAGTGCTCTACCACTTTCAGCCACAGCTCCACTTCTGGTTTTCTGGAGATTAATTGGAGATAAGAGTCTCACTGACTTTCCTGCCTGAGCTGGCTTTCAACCGAGATCCTCAGATCTCAGCCTCCTGAGTAGCTAGGATTACAGGTGTGAACCACCAGTGCCTGGCTCATTTTTCTTTTAAACTTATCTTCTCATTAAATTATGAGGTCTGCTGGGTATTTAAAAAGTGCCTGGCACATAGTGAATAATTTATCCATAGTATCTCACTCATTTCTCGTAACAAATATGATGTATTATTTCCACTCACAATGAGAAAAATGAGGCTTTTTAAGAGGCTATTTTTTCAGTCAAGAAGCTCACCAGTGGTGGAGCTGGATTTGACTTTAGCTCTAAACCACAAGTCCCCATGCCTTTTAAAGGCAGATGACTTCTCCTCATCCATAGTCCTGAATATAATTTTTTTTCACTTAATAAACACTGCTGCGTGACTTAATGATAATCTAACCTCAGATAAGCCAGGTTGCAGTACAGTTTTTGATACAGCAGGGTGAAGTCTCCAGAGAAAAAAAGAACATGATCTTGGGGCAGGTGAAGCACCTCTAAGCTGGGGATATGTGACAACCAGGTTACTTTCACTCTTGTCTTTTGGTTCCCATTAGCCAGTGTCAGCCATCTGGTCCTTCCGAAAACATGTGTGGGTTCAGAACATAACAGACTAGAAGAATAGAGGAAAAATAAGATTATTCTATGCAATCCCCATTCTAGAGGTCCCACATCAACCCCTGGAGTCTGTCTGTGGCTCTAAGAATTAGACCAGCACAAAGTTAGATGGGGCTAGCTGACATGATGTTCATTCAGACATAAATGGACACTAACAACATAATGTACTCAAAGATGAATTTACTTTTGCAACAAATGGTGATGGGACCAAAATGTAAACATGAATAGTGGGAGAAAAAAAATGTGCCATAAGTATTGGAACATTTACAGACTTTCAACTAAGGTGCTTGCAGCAGAAACTGGATGATATACAAGATCTCTTTTTTTTGGTGCAATTACTGGGGCTTAAACTCAGGACCCTGTGCTCTTGCTTGGCCTTTTCACTCACAGCTGACACTATCACCTGAGCAACATCTCCAGTCTCATGGACTTTTTTTGCCTCAGCTGGCTCTAAGCCTTAGTCTTCAGATTTCAGCCTTCTGAGTAGCTAGATTCCAAGTGTGAGCCAATGGCATCAGGCCTGATTTAACTTTGAAAGATTCCAAACCATGAACATGATTACACCATGCCACCGTCCTTCTTCAAGTTTCTTTGTAATAACTACCCCTATTTTTGAATGTCTTACTATAATACCAAGCATAATGCTATATATATCATATAACTTTCACAACTCTGAGGTTTACTGATACCACATGCTGACACTGCACACACGAAGAACTAAGACTTAGAGCAGCTGAGTAACTTGTAATACTTGGGTTCTTCCAACGCACACACTAAGTCCTACATTCCATTATACACCAAATCAAAGAAGCAGTCTGTAACACCAGTTTGAGAAACGTCAACTCCAGGAGCATAGAAAATTAGTTTCATCAAGCTGTTTACATTTATTCTCTACTAATCTATTATTGGGACTAAACCTATAAATGGATTTTAACAGTGGTCCATGGAAAGAGAAAGGTAATTATCATTAAGAAACCTGTATCCATTCCACTTTATATGTAAAGAAATGTGGAATTGTGATTTTTTTAAATCACATAGCATGTGATAATTTTATTAGCATTTTGTTAAAAAGAGACCTAAAATATACCTTAGTTGGTGTATAATAAAAAGTAATGAAATTCTGGGGGAAAAAACCCTATAATGCAGTAATAAGAATATAAACACACAAACATATTGGCTAGAAAATTAAACTCATAACTCTTCTTTCTCAAACTGTTCTAGTTTAGATATGATGTGTCCTTCAAAGACCACATGTTGAAGACGTGGCCCCCAGCTGACAGGGGTCATAGAGATCTGATTGGTTCATAAGGACTCTGATCCACTCCTGGATCCATTTACTAACAGTTATAATTTGACAGCATTATTGAGAAGTAGTGCAAACTTTCAGAGGTGCTGCTGAATTGGAGGAAGCAGGTCATTGGGGGTGTGGATCTTGTCCCTGGCCCCTTTTTCCTGTCCATGAACCTACAGCAATGGAGTCAGCCAGCCACGGATTGAAACCTCTATATACTATGAGCTAATATAAATGTTTTCTCCTCTTAACTGATCTGCTCAGGTCAATGAAAAGCAACCAATACATGAAGTAAACCATTTGTTGAAAAGCAAAAACAAAAACAAGAACAGAATGAGGAAGAAAAAAAACAAAATCAAGCTGATGGTATTGAGTCTACACTGCACTTAACAGCTCATCTCTAAAGGAATATTCATATACTGGTGGGAAAAAATCAGAAACAATGATCTAGAAATAATTTCCCCCTCCCGCCCAGTAGTAGAGAGCAATCTACTATGAGATTTACACTTGTACTACACTGTAACTGCTCTAAAAGCCTTTGTACAACTTGCTCCAACCATCCAAAACATTTCAAAAAATAAGAGGACTCTGGGTTTGGTTCCCAGCTCCACTCCTCCAGCATCCCCAAAAGACTAAGTCTACTAAGCAATTTCACTTTTACTAGTCTCTCACCATATTTGTATCCTACAAAATGGAACTACCTTGAAAGCAACATTATTTGTAATTAGTTTGTATATCAAGCAAGCATAATTGTAACTGCTACAACAAAATGCATAATTTTTATATTTTAAATTCAACATGGCTACATTCTTTAAGGTGAGAGGACACATAATCTCTCATGTACATTTCAATTTTCTGATTCTTACTAACACAAAGGGTAAGTGAAATGAACAAGTCTCACCCACAAAAGGAATCAATACTGTATCATACCTGAGATCACACCAAAACTCAGGAAGGCTCAATTACAAACCAAGAACAACCTTAAAGAACTCAAGATATGAAAGCCACATTATTGATTCAAAATACAATTTTTAGGATAAAAAAGAACCATGGTTGCTGAGTGCCAGTGGCTCACACTTGTAATCCTAGCTACTCAGGAGGCTGAGATCTGAGTATCATGATTCAAAGCCAGCCTGGGCAGGAAAGTCTGTTAAGACTCTTATCTCCAATTAACCACCAGAAAGCGGGAAGTGGCGCACATACTCCTACTTACTAATATCAGACTAATACTGGCAGACAGTATAACCCAATTCCACACCAAAGCTACAAAGCCCATTCACACTCACATCTAAAATAAGAGCAGGTTGCCAGGTGTTAAAGTCACATAAAGATTATGCCTCTGGGACCATCTTGGCTGTGCACACATCCTTCTTAACTGCTTCTGGGCAGCAGTGGTTTCTTCTTTTAGTTTGGTTAAAGATGCCACTCTCCATGTTATTTGTTGGGGATGAATTCTCCCTGAAATTGGCCAGTTCACCATTTTAATGACCATTTCTAATCACCATTCATTCCTGCAGGCTGACTTCAAAGCTCTTGCCTTTATTTTTCCTTTCTAGGACTTGAAGGCTTCTGATCATGAAGGCCCTTTGTGGCATACAGACCTAACGACATGGTTGGGGACTAGAAGAATGCCAAGTATCCTAAGTGTTTCTTCAGGTATCACCTGTAGTTCACAGACCTCTAGCCTGGATGACTTTCGTTCATCTCAGCAGAGGGATGTCCTGCAGTGCCTTTCCTCAAAATATGGACGTGCAAATCTGGAGCAAGATCAATCATGTACCTTAGTATGTCCTAAGACAAGAAGCTCAAGGAGTGACAGAATTCAGAGAATGTGTGCCGGGGTACGTTCTACCCTAGTCAACCCACCAAAGCCACCACCACCTTACAGCTCTTTAAAGAGCTGTTGAGAGGAGCAAGAGAATCACTCTAGCAGTCACAATCCACACTTCAAGGCCAACATTAAAGAAAGGACCATGTGTGTCACTTTTGGCAATAACTTGTCAACTAGATGGAAGCCTCGGCAGGGTCAGAATCTATCCAATGAACAGGCTAAAGCGCCCAAACTACCCTTTCACTCTTGGAGGCAGGTGCTCCAAGGACAGAACTCATCCATCTGGAAGAGATCAAAACCATCATAATCGGGGCTGGGAAGGTGGCTCAGTGGTAGAGCGCTTGCCTTGCATGCCTGAGGCCCTGGGTTCGTATTCCTCAGCACCACATAAGCAAAAAGAAAAAAGCCGGAAAGTGGCGCGGTGGCTC